ACCTTGAGAAACATGCTTTTAAAAATCATCCACATAAGGCCAAGTGGACAGCAGTCACCATAAAGCAAATGAGAAGGGTGGGGGCACCGAGAACGAGTTACGTGCAGGGGATAAGTAGATGGGAACTACTGAGAATGCTGGCACAGACTACAGACCACCACCAGCGGCACCGAACATTACACATGGAACCTGGCGAATGGGAGCCGTTCTGCGCTGCGTATTTTCACCAAAAATACAATGAAGCGTTATTTAAAAAGAAAAAAAAAAAAAAAGACACTGGAAACACAACCTGTGAAAAACTAAAGCTTTGAGCCAGGAAGATATTTCTCTCCCATCCCAGATACTGTCCATACAATCAATCTGCGAGCACACATCACACCTAGACAGGAGCAATGTGCTTTCAGAAAAGTCCCCTGAACCGTAGCACACAGCCCCCTCTTTTCCTTCATCAATGCAGTAACTGGTCCTCAACACCTACTACATGCCAGCATGATGTGCCCTGGGGCACACAGCAATGACCGAGACCAGGTTCTGGTTGTCAGGACCTTACCTTTTGGTAGGGGAGATAGGACGGTAAGCTAAATACCAGATATGACTGAGTATGAGGGCAAAGAAATAAAAGAGACTTAAGTGAAATAGTGAGTAACCAGATGGCTTTTAGATAAAATAGGGGAGGCTGTTTTGAAGGGATATTCATGACAAGAAGCCAACCAGTCCAGATGAGGGTACAGCTAACATGAAGGTCCTAAGATGGAGAGTGGACTTAACTTGTTCCAATGTGACCATGGTGTCGTGAGAAGGACAATCCTCAAAGATGCGGGCCGAGTGCACAGGAAGCCACGTCTCACTGGGCCGTGGGGCGAAGCAGAACCTGTACTGACTCAGGAATTAACTGGCAGCGGATAAGAAGACTGTCCCCTACAGGGTGCTCAGAGAGAACAAGCCAACAGTGGACTGAGGCAAAACGCAGCACCAGACCACCAACCACGAGTATCATCAAGTTTACAGATAAAAGGGACCTTAGCTGTCAGACAATCCACCCCTTCATGGGAGCTCTGGCATGCTGTGGCCCTGGCTGGGGCTCAGCTGAGGTCAGAACAGGGACACAGCAGGGAGTTGTACTTGGTACTCTGGGACAATGAGGCCAAAGCTCTTTCCCTCATTCTTGACCCCAGTGTGAAATCCTAATGAAGTCTTTACTGTGTACATTTCCAGATGTGAGAGAGCAGCATTCAAATGGAAACATATCTGGAGAGAAGCTGCTTAAATATCCTTGCAAAATTATTCACACCTCTAGCCCCTCCCACGAAATTTAAAAAAATATGGCAGACAAGATTTAAGTGTCCACCAGCAGATTATCTCTGTCCCCAACCAAGCCCACCGAGCAGTAAATAACCAAACAAACAGCAGAACATACTTACATCCGGGTATTCTTTTACAGGCACATAAAGTTTCTCTTGTAACTGAACAATAGGTCCCGCCGCGTCAGGCAGCTCCGCGCTCCTTTTCTCTGTGCTGCCATTTAATGTGTCATTGTACATGTCTTTCCGTACTCTGCTAATTTCTGTGAAAAAGTAAAAAGTGTAAATGTGTTAGACAACAAAATATCCTCGCCAGTCCAGAAAAGATTTCAAAGAAAAAAGTGATAAAACTCAGAGACAAAAATCTGTGGACCTATTCTCTTGATTAGCCCACACTCAACACAACTCAGTACTCAGTGGCCTTAAATAACTTTCATGAGAAATCAAACATATGCCACACAACAGCGTATCTTATCACAACCAACTGCAATATCCCCACTCTCGGCCACCATGACAGGGACCTGGTGTTGCCCCAATTTTCCCACACCAAAATGAGGCCAGCCACTGGCAATGATAGCTTCAGTCACTAACTATCCTAAGAATTAGTCCTGTCAGAATGAGATTTTTTTTTAACAGAACCATTTTGTTTGATACTTTGGGTGCCTTTTGAATACCCACACTGAGATGCCCAATAGACAGACTGCAAGTTTAACAGAAGTCTGAGTTTGATACACCAAGTTAGTAGCTACAACTACAGGAATAGAGGGGATGCCTGAGAGAGAGCGTGGGCGGAAGGGAGGAGGCAATACACCTTAGCAAAACACCTAGCAGGACACGAAAAGACCAGCCCGAGTAAGAAGTGGTGGGGAAGAGGTGTCAGAGAAGCTGAGAAAGGATGGCTGCAGAGACAAGGTGACCAGCTGCAGCGCCCAGCCCGGAAGTACTATTTCTTCATTCAAGAAACAACTGAGAATTCCACTTGAATTAATCAAGTTCTATACAACTGGAGTGCCTAAGGCATTCGACTGTTAACCAGAAGGCTGGTAGTTCAAACCCACCAGCCACTCCTCAGAAGGAAGACTGGGCAATCTACTTCTGTAGTGACATTGTCTTGAAAACTCAAGGAGGGGTCGCTAGGAGCCGGATTCGACTCGATGGCACGTAACAACTACAAGTATCTGTGTGACCCTTTGATTCCTATCTTCATCTCACACAGACTGAAAGTTCCATGAGCACTACTACTCACTGTATCCCCAGCTCGTAGCATACTACTTGGACACAGAAAGTCCTCAGTAAACACTTGGTGAGCTGAGTGGATGGGTGAATGAATGGAGGATGGACTGAGCCAGGTGCCCAAATTCCACAAAACAAGCTTTGTCTCACTTCTCAAGGTACCAGTGCCCTGTAAGGCAGCAAGAAGCCCCAGGGCGTAAAAGGCCAGAGGAGAGACACAGGTTAGAGAGAGTGCTGGTGGAAGGGGGTTTCATGGACTATGTGCAGGGGGCGCTGACTCCAGCAGCTCTTCTCTAGTAATGGGGAAGAGTGTATGCGGCAAAACAACAAACACTAGGACTACCCACTCTACTTACTGAATGAAATTAAAATAGGACGCATCCTACCTGAATTCTTTCACAGTCTCTAAGATACACCACTCTGTTTAGTAACACAACACACACTGTACACAGAACAGCAATAATGGGAATGAGAAGATGGCTAAGACCATTTTTTTTTTTC